TTAAATAAAATTTGTCTTCTCTTTATCCCCAGTCACCCACTCTAGATTATTTTGTAAAGGGCCTACATGCTCGGACCGGACCTTTTTACTATTAATATATTTGAAGAATTTTTGGGGGTTTGTCCTGCTATCTTTTGCAATCTGTCGTTCCTTTTCAATTTTTGTGGCCTATATTTCCTTTTTGCATATTTTATTATATTCTTTGTAATGTTTAAACAATGATAGCGTTCCTTCATTCTTATATTTAATAAAAGTTCTTTTCTTATTATCTATAGCTTTTTTAACTTTGGCCATAAGCCACATAGGTTTGATTTTTAGCCTTTTATACTTGTTGCCCATGGGAATATATTTTGCAGTGTTTTCACATACAGTCTTTTTGAAGAACTCCCATTTCTGTGTTGTGTTCATCAGTGCCAATATTCCCTCCCAGTCTAAGTCTTGGAGAGCAGCTCTCAGCCTTGGAGAATTAGCTCTCTTAAAGTTAAGCATTTTTATTTTTCCCGTATTTGCTTGATGTTTACAGCTAACAATAAATGAAATCATGTTATGGTCACTGCTACCCAGATGTTCTTTTATATGGACATTCGTAATAAACTCTGCATGGTTTGAGATTACCAGTTCCAGCAGAAAACAATTCCTAGTTGGGGCCTCTATGAACTGTACCATAAAATTATCCTGTAATAGGTTTATAAATGTTTGCCCTTTAACTGTTCCTGCAGTACCATTTCTTCAGTCAATTTCTGGGTAGTTAAAATCCCCTATTATCACTGTACCATCCCTTTCGATCTGTGCAAGGAGCTGAGTCTCCACCTCCTCATTAACACTGGGAGGCCTATAACAAACTCCAATGAGTTTGTAGTACGTTGTAGTACACTCCCCCATGTGCAGTTCCACTCATAATGCTTCAGCCTCATCACACTCTCCATCAACTAGGTCCTCTTTCACACTTGCTCTGAGATCACTTCTCACATAGAGACAGACACCACCACCTTTCCTGTTTACCCTGTCTCTCCTAAAGAGAAACATAGCCAGGAATATCAATGGCCCAGTCACGTGAAAAATTAAGCCAAGATTCAGCAATACCAATCAGGGTGGATAAAAATCAATGATTTAAAAAAAAAAAAAAAAAAAAAATTCAGATTTTTTTATTTAAATCTGATTTTTTTTTAATTTAAATCAGATTTTTTTTGAATAAAATGCTTTTTGAGGAAAATATATTACCATCCAAAGGTTATTCCATCATGAAATAAAGATTAGTTTTTTAATTATGTAGAATAAGGCTGTATATGTTTAATTGTTTTGGTAAATAAATTCCATGAATCCATTCACAATGTCATGCTCTTCCAGAGGTTTTTTGTAAGATTATTGGGCAGTTTCTCTCCCCTCAAGATATTATCACAGATGATCGGTTTACTTTTGCAATTCTCAAAACTGAATTTGACTCAGCGGAGATCACATGCCTCTTCTTCACAGCAAAAATGTTATAACATGAACAGAGTTAAGAAAAAGACCTTCATCCTAACTTCTACAAACCTATGAATACAGAATCAACCCCTTCAGTGCTAAGCTTCAAGAAGTTCAGTGAATAGAAACAATATTTTTCTGATTGTTTGGAGTGGAATAGATCTGCACAAGAAGAAAGTGAAACTAAGTGTGAGGAGGAAGGGGCTGACAGTCTAAGTTCTTAAAATATATAGATTTTGTTTAGCCAAATTAGTTACCAAACATGGATGTTTAAGCAAATAACATATGCTGGAATGTTGTTGTTTCAGATGAATAAATCTATTTAAATTGTTATTATTAAAGTAATGATTATTTTTCTCCTTCCTAAGTACAACAGAAAAGTTGTCCAAATATGAATGATTAACCTATTAAACTGGGGATAAAAAAACTAATATGAAAAGTTGTTATTCTAAAAATCTTCATCTACTTGTATATTAAAGTTATACCAGCAAGAATTAGTCTTTATGTAGAAAACTAGGATTTAGATCAAGCCTTACTGACTAGTGATTTAAATTGTGATTTAAATCAAATCCACCTTGATACCAATTAAATCATAGTTCTCTTCATGCACCAAAGCTTCCAACTCACCTATTTTGCTTGGCAGACTTCTGGCATTGGTGAAAAAACACTTTTAAAAAAAATATGCAAAATATGTGTGCACAAGGTGTCAATGCATTAATTTCATACAAATGGTACCGATACCAATGGTTGTTTGTAATATGGGAACCTTCTTATTATCTGCCATAGCCCTCCCTCCATCTTTCCCCATTCCACCCACCAATAACTACTGACCCCTGTCTGATCGGTCTGCCCCATTATAATCTAATTCTCCCTCCCCCCTCGATCCTAGTTTAAATACTCTTCCAGCCTCCCCATAAGCCTCTCCCCCAGCACAGCAGACCCCCTTCCATTTAGGTGCAAACCGTCTCTAGCATATAGGTTGCACCCCAATGAAAAGTCAGCCCAGTGCTCTTTTAACCCAAATCCTTCCCTCTTACACCAGGTCTTCAGCCATGCATTTAGTTTTCTAATATCCCCCTGTTATTCCTGAGTTGTGCATGGCACAGGTAATATTTCAGAGAATATCACCTTGGAGGTCCTTCCCTTCACCTTGCAGCCTAGTTCTTTAAATTGATTCTTAGAAGCCTCCATCTTCCATGTATTCTGTCATTGGTTCCAACATGGACCAAGACAGCTGGGTCATGTCCAGCCCCTCCCAGTAATATATCAACCTGGTCCACCACATGCCGAACCCTGGCACCAGGGAGACAGCAAACCATTCGGTTGAGGTGAACCTGGTGACAAATTATTCTATCAGTCCTTCTGATTATAGAATCCCCTACTACCACCAGCTGTCTAGGCCTTCCTGCACTACCCTCCCCATCCCTCCCAGATGGTCTGCCCTCCCAGATGTTAGGGATAGCAGTGACATCCAGGGCTGCCACCCCTGAGCTTGCCACCCCCACATCTTCACCCAACTTGGCAAATCTGTTTGGGTGTACAAACCCAGGGCCGGCCTTCCTTTTCTGTGAGCCCCTACCACTCCTTCTCATTACAGTAACCCATTTTCCTACCTGATAATCCTGATTAGCCCCTCCACATCAATCACATTAGCTACTTGCTCAGGGAGCAGAACACCCCTTTCAAGGTTGTCCGTTCTGCCCAGTGTTACAACTTTCTCCTTCAGATCTCTAACGCGACCTTCCAGAAAGGCAAGCTGCTCACATCCGTCGCAGCGGTATCCATCCTGCAACTGTTGCTCCATTGTTGCATACATGCAGAACACTGTGCACTGCACAAAACCTTCAACCCTGCTAGCATTCATATCCCAGTTACAATATTAATATTACTAATAGGAATTGTCAGTTGTCACTTACAGGTTAGAAGACTCCTGTTATCTTTTTTTCCACTCCGGTTTTTTTTTTAACTCCACTTAATCAAATGTCCACTTTGTCAAAGGTCCAGCAAGCAAAATACAGGCAAGCTCAAGAGTGAGCTCTACAGAAAGTTATATAGCACCTGTGATTACCCCTCCCCTTAATTAGCAGACTGATGGACGGCAAGGAAAGGAAGAAAAAAAAATGCTATTTAAAAAGACAGAAAAAGTGATTTAAAATGTAAAAGCTTCTAGCAAGACCTAGAAAAAAAAAAAACAGCTACAAGCACCAGCAATCACCAGCAGTCAAAAGTAAAACTGTTTTTCACTCTCCACTCGTTTTAGCTATCAGCCAGCAAAAAAGTGACAGACAGATATGGAAGCTTGTGTAGATTGATGTAAACTGAATCAGTATTTATCATTTTTTTTTCTTAGAGCAAAAAAACATGACTGAACAGATGTCCTTGTGAAAGAGCCCTAAGGCTACATCGATTACATACTTGTGGAACAGAGAGGGACTTCAACTATCTTGATATTGACTGGGCAGACAGAACTACACACTCAGCTAAGCCTCATTCCTTGAATGCAATGCATGACACGTTTACAATAAATTATATGAAAAGGAGACACGAGGGTAGGACAAGAGCACTATGCTTCAAAAGAATTAATTTTAATAACCTGTGCTCCCTACTACATGACACTAAATGGGATGAAATTCTGTCAACAAAGAACACTCAAGAAAAGTGGGGCTCTTTAGTGATATATTACCGGCTTCCCGACCGCCCTATAGCAGAACTAGGGGAATCTACTAGTGAGTTGAACTACAGTGCTTGTGATATTTTTTTCTTCCTTCAGTGGTAAACAAAGGAAATTTATTTTCGCACCTTATGCCCCTTCCACGCAGCTTTTCCTGTCAGTTTTTCAGGCGGAACTCCAGGTCTGTGAGTAGGCATATGTAAACAGATTTGTGTCCATTTACATCTACCCCCAAATGATAAAGGACTGTACCATTTTCAGTTTTTTGGACCTAAATGTGACCAATCAGAGGTAGTCTAGTAAAAAACAAACACAAGCCCGTTTACCTCCCTCCACCAAGAGCACCTACTTTCCTGCTGACTTTTTCTACTGACAAAACATTGAAAATTTATTAATAGAGCACTTTGGTTACTGACAACAAGAAAAGTGATAGAAACTCCTAATACAAAAAAGATGTTAAAAAAAAGATATTTACAAAAAAAAAGATATTTAAATTGTATATTCAATATGCAAACATTAATGATATCCATAACAAGTAATTGCCTGAATTTAAAATTAAAAAGTCAAAATGGCAATAAACAGATTTAAAAATAAAATGAAAAAATGTGAGCCACCCTGGGTACAGATGAACATCAAGTTCTAGGTGTGCCACAGTAAGCAGTGGATGAATAAACAGAACCGGTGCATAATCACTTTATTAACGCAGTACGCTGTGGCCCTTGTACCTGCAAAATACTCTTAATTACTGTTCTGAAAGTGACAGTCTCACACATAAACCACAGGACAAAGGATCATTAAAATAAAATAAATAAACTTTTCCATTACATTTGCTTTTCTGAACATTGGTGGTGGCTACAGCTGTCGATCATCGGGTCCCGGCCGGAGATTCTCCACCGCTACCCGGCGATTTCTGAGGAACATTGACAGGGGAGAGGTCTGTATGTAAACAATACAGATCTCTCCCCTGTCAGCACCAGCATGCTACTTTGTATTGCTCTGCATAGCAGAGTAATACAAAGCAGCATGCTTACACAGTAAAACAGCACATAATGTGAAACACACACAGCACACAGTCAACCCTTTGATCACCCCAGATGTTAACCCCTTCCTGCCCAGTGGCATTAGTACAGTGTCAGTGCTTTTTATTAGCACTGACCATTGTATTAGAGTCATTAGAGATGTCAGTGACAGTTAGTCAGTTCCCACCCAGTGTCAGAATGCCCGCTGCAGTCCTGCTATAAGTCGCTGATCACCGCCATTATTAGTATTAAAGAAAAAATTTCGCTACACATACTGCCATTTGTAGAAGCTATAACTTTCACATAAACCAATTAATTTACAAGTATTGGCATTTTTTTTTAGCAAGGACATGTAGCAGAATACATTTTGGTCTAAAGTTATGATCAAATTTGATTTTTAAAATATTTTTACTGGATATGTTTTATAGCAAAAAGTAAAAAATATAGGGTTTTTTTTTTGTTGTTTATAGTGCAAAAAATAAAAAAATGCAGAGGCAATCAAATACCACCAAAAGAAAAGGTCAATTTGTGGGGAAAATAGGTCTTACATTTAATTTGGGTGCAACGTTGCATGACTGCGCAATTGTCACTTAATGTAACGCAGCGTTGTATTGCAAAAAATGGCCTGGTCAGGAAGGGGGGGGGGGGGGGGGGGGTAGATCCTCTGGAGGACAAGTGGTTAAGCAATGGCATTTGTCAGTGCATTCAAATAGGCAATAGATATAAAAGAACGAAAATCAAAACACTAGTGTAAAAAGACATATTAATGAGAAAAAAAAAAATGGTCCTTAAAAAAATGTAAGGCCAAATGGTCACTATATAAAGAATGCAATAAAAAGTGCAAGAGCAAGATCAGGGCAGCTAAAATAGATTATGTTAGACACACTGCTGAGAAGAGTAAAACAAATTCTTAAAGTTTTTGAACTATAGTAATAGCAAAACGGCGAGGTTAGAACATAGGAGAAGGCAATTCTATTAAATACATTCTTTTCCTCAGTTTATACAAATGAAAACGTGTCAGTAGATGTACATAGCCCAGCTCAGGATCAAGCCCGCATATTTGCCCCCAAAAGCAGTGCTATGGGGGCAGATACAGAAGAGAAGGAGCCAAGAGCACTGGCCAGGGACCCCAAAACATAGTAGGTAAGTATAACATGTTTATTATTTAATAATAAAAAAACATAAGCCTTTACAATCACTTTAACCACTTGCCCTCCAGAGGATTTACCCCCCCTTCCTGACCAGGCCATTTTTTGCGTTACGCCGCTGTGTTATTTTAACTGACAATTGCGCAGTCATGCAACGCTGCACCCAAATGAAATTTTCGTCCTTTTTTCCCACAAATTGAGCTTTTTTTCGGTGGTATTTGATCGCCTGTCTTTTTTTTTTTCATAGGGCAAAAAAAAGAGACAATTTTGAGAAAAAAAAAAACAATATTTATGACTTTTTGCTATTAAACATTTCCAGCAAAAAATTTTAAAAATCAAATTTCAGCATAAATTTAGGCCAAAATGTATTCTGCTAAATGTCTTTGCCAAAAAAAATCCCAATACGTGTACAACTTAAGGTCTTCTTGGCATTGATGAATTTGTATGTATCGGCCTAGAAAACTGGTTTTAGCAGCATCGAGAAGGTGGTGATAAATGACATTTTCTGAATGGTCTGGAATTGTTAGCAGGGTACCCCGGGGCTCTGTCCTGGGACCAATTCTGTTTAAACGTGTTCATAAATTATATAGCATTTAGAAAAGGTAATTACTGATGATACAAAGCTAAGCAGAGCAATAGCTTCATACCAGGATATAGCAACTTTACAAGAAGACCTTAATAAAACAGCAGTGTGGGCAGCTACAGTGGATATAAAAAGTCTACACACCCCTGTTGAAATGTCAGGTTTCTGTGATATAAAAAAATGAGACAAAGATAAATAATATCAGAACTTTTTCCATCTTGAGGTTTGGACAGAGGAGGAACCTGAACATGGCAATTAGCGGGAGCTCATGCTAAGAGCTCCTGGCACCAGACCCCCAACCGTGGTCCCGCCGGGTGGAAAGTGAGGCTAGGGGCGCCGCGGGTGTTTTTGTGGCATGGAGGCGGCCCCCTAGCATAGAGCGTGTCCCCGGAGCTTGTGATGCGGCAAGTGGAGCGGTGAAGAGAGAGACCGGAGAATCCCAGCGACGTGAGGGAGCCGAGAAGACGCCTAGCGGTCACATGACTCAGCAGAGGAGCAGTGAGAGGAGAAGCCATCTGGCATGCAGGAGGGGAGAAGGCTGCGGCTTGTGTCTCCCAGGTACCTGCTTTGGACCGAGGAAGAGACTGAATCAAGAGATTTTGGAGTGTCCCCCCCCCTGTCCCAGATGTGGCTATTGTCTGGAAAGAGCACTGAAGCCAGTAACCCCCCCCAAAAGAGGAATCTGGAAGCCGCCTCACCGAAGTGAATGAAGTAGCAGCTAAAAGGTTGAGTGAAAGCGGCAGCATCAGCATACTGTACTGTGAAAATTAAAACCAATACTGGAAATAGAACTGAATGTGAAAGTAGTGTGGAGTGGGGGTTATGTATTCAGGAGGGCTTACTTAAAGTTTAACTATGAGTAGAAGTGGCTAAAGGACAATAGCATGAAATAGAGGATCTGAAAGGGGTGCAAAACCTGACAGTGCATTTTTTGGGTGGAAGAGGGGGACAGAAGAAAAGGAGGAGGAAGAAAAAGGAGGAAGAAAAAGATATTGCTGGAGTAGCTGAATTTTTTATTTTTTTTTTCTTAATTCCTTCTCTCCCTACCTTCTTGTCAATCGGGAATTAAAAATTAAATAATAAAATGAAAAACAAAAACGTCAAAGGGAGGAGGTCCAAAAGTCTCACAAACAAGCTCAATTAAAAAGTATATACCGTCACAAGAAAAATATACCCCCGAGAGACAAATAGGAATAAACGGTAGTTGTGAGATGGAAAATAGTACTGGAGAAAGTTATAGACTATCCCTAGGAATGGCAAATATTAGCCAAAATATAGAAGATACAGCTATAGAAAAAAATAAGTGTGTTGGAGAATATAGAGAAACAAGAGAAGAGCTTACACCTTCCTACTAAAATGGAAAAAGCCAAAATGTTTAAAGGTTTGGGAAAATCTATAATACAAGAAATGGTGAAATTACATAAAGATCTAGGGTGGATATTGTCAAGAGTAGAGGATACAGAGGAAAAATTGGACAAACATGCCCAAGTAATACAAGTCTTGGAAAAAAGAATAACAGATGAGGAAAGAACAAAGAAATCTGCTATATAAAATGGAAGATCGGGAAAATAAGGATAGAAGATGCAATTTAAGGTTCCAAGGTCTTTCAGAGAATCCCCAAGGGGAAGACCTACAGGAAACAAGAAAATATTAGATACAATATTGAATAGAACTTTAATTAAGCCGTTCAAATTCGACAGTCTACAGAATAGGAAGACCCCAACAACAAGATGGCAGAAAAAGAAACCCAAGAGACATAATTGTACAATTCCATTATTTCTGGGATAAAGAGGAGATTTGGAAAAATTTAAAGGGAAGAGCAACAATATGGAGACGCAAATATACAGATTTTTGCTGATTTTACAGCGGAAACACTGATAAGAAAGAGAACTTTAAAGCCATTACTGGAACAAATGAGAAGACAAAATGTGAAGATCAGCAACATTGAAGTCTCCTGATGACTTGAAAGACTTTTGTAAGAGACTTGAAATGCAGGAAATAAATATTCCAGAATGGGAGGAGGAAAGATGGGGGTTTAGAAAAAGATATGTCGCAGGCTCCATAAAGAGGGGATAGAGAATAGAGAAGATCAAGGGAGTAGGAGAAGAGAGAGGAGCAAAAGGTGTGTTGTTTTTTTTTTGCTGGTGGCTACGCTCTCTCTCTTGCTCCCTCGAGTAGTATACTAAGTTTGGCTCTTTTTGTACTTGGTGGGATGGGGGGGGGAGGGGGAAGGGAAGTATGCATGTTCAGAGTTACACCTCAGGTTGAATCTAGGGTGGAACTGGAACCACAAATGATTCATAGGCAAATTAAAGGCCTAAATGGAAAAGGGGGGAGGGAGGGGGGAGGAGTGTGTGAGGTGGAGAAGGGGGGGGGAGGTGGGGTGGCCTGAGATTATGCAGGATAACAAGGGGTAAATCAGTCTGGAGAAGCTTTAGAGAACGAAGGGGGAAAGATGGAGAAGAGAGGGAGAGAAAGGTGAAGGGAAAAAGAAGACTGAGAGGAGGTGAGAAAAGAAAGGAAGAGATTCACTTTGTGACTTATAATGTTAGAGGTTTAAAAGTAAAAAAGTGCAGCGCTAATAAATGTTAAATATATAAACGAATAATAAATAATGTGCGTTATAAATGTGTAGAATCAATAGTTCATCCAAATGTCATAAAGTAATAAAATTCAAACACAGAATAGCAGCACAGATGGATAATCTTCAAAGCAGCAGATTGTTGAATAACAGGGCTTGCGACAGGAACAAATGGTATAAGTGTGCACTCACCGCAAACGCATTGGTAATGCGCATGTATATATAACCACCAAGGATCTCATGGATAGGCGGATGGTGAGCTTCCTTCTACTAAAATGGTCATCAGGCAAAAGGGTAGTAAGGTAATCTGCTGGGTCCAGAGGTCCCCTTAAGGATGGATAGGTGCTCAGCCTGGGTACAGGGCTCCCTCCTCTGGATACTGGATGTAATGGGGGTGATCTGCAGGCTTAACAGCTCCAGATAGGAGCTAAAAAACAAAAGCCCATAGTGTAGTATGCCCACTTAAAACATGTTTATTGCCATAAAAAGTTAAAAAGGGTAGTATGCAAATTATCAACAAGAGATTGCAGAGTATGCAGCACTAACCCCTAGTAAAGATGGCCACCACATATTTAGTACAGAAAGGTAATGTGAGGTTACAGTCTAGATATTATCCTGAGTGGTTTTATGCAGATTTCCCAATTAAACATGCAAAGGAAGTGGCGATAGGATTTGCGAAAAACATAAGGTTTATGTTGGAGGAGAGATTGGTAGATCCGGAAGGGAGATTGCTGTTTTTGAAAGCAAGACTGCAGGAAATAGAATGCACATTAGCAAATATTTACTGCCCGAATAAGAAACCGGAGATATATTTAAAAATTGTCCTGAGGAAATTAATGGATTTTTAAAAAAGGTAATTAGATTGTGGCAGGAGATTTCAATTTTTGCATGGATCCACAGATGGGTGTTG